AACTGACAGAGCACGTCCAAGATACCGCATAAAAAAACAAAAACAAGATGCCTGCCAGTCGACCATCTTTAATCCAATTGCGAAATAAATCGTCATGGACATGTATCCTAACATGTATAATCTATGTACCAAGTTTGAATGACAACTGACAAAGCATGTCCAAAATACAACATTTTCAAAAAACAAGATGGCTGCCAGTTGGCCATTTTGAATCGAATCGCTAAACCACAGCATGTGCATATGTCCCACATAAGGTACTAGGCACATGCAAAGAATGAACGGAATCGGCCCACAGGATTCTGAAATATGACGTTGGATAGACTGACGCACAGACAGACGAACACACGGACGGTCGGACAGACTCACGGACGGTCGGGGACATGTATCCTAACATGTATGATCTATGTACTAAATTTGAATGAAAACTGACAAAGCATGTCCAAAATACGACATTTTCAAAAAACAATATGGCTGCCAGTCGGCCATCTTTGATCCAATTGTGAAATAAATCATCATGTCCATGTATCCTAACATGTATAATCTATGTACCAAGTTTGAATGAAAACTGACAAAGCATGTCCAAAAAACAAGATGGCTGCCAGTCGGCCATCTTTGATCCAATTGTGAAATAAATCATCATGTACATGTATCCTAACATGTATAATCTATGTACCAAGTTTGAATGAAAACTGACAAAGCATGTCCAAAATACAACATTTTCAAAAAACAAGATGGCTGCCAGTCGGCCATTTTGAATCGAATCGCTAAACCACTGCATGTGCATATGTCCCACATGAAGTACTAGGCACATGCTAAGAATGAACGGAATCGGTCCAAGGGATTCTGAGATATGACTCCAGACGGACACACGGACGGACGGAGACCGAATTATAAGTCCCCGTTTTCGGACTTCGTCCGAACGGGGACTAAAAATAATGTTCATGTTGATGTATCTATTGGTATACTGTCTTTGTAAAAAATTTAAACAAAAATGTTCATTGCATTCATGGGAAAGTAGGCATGGGTATCATGAAAAACAAAATGGCCATCAGTCAGCCATATTTATTTGAATCACAGAAAAAAATATGACAAGCAACTATAACCCAATATGTATGATCATCATACCAACTTTGATCCAAATTGGCATAGTCATCTCTGAGAAACAGCTCCGGACATGCAAAAATTACGATTTAGCACTTTTACATGAAAATTGGGCATTGGCCGGCCATATTGAATCGAATCACAAAATAAATGATGTGTACCTATAACCCAACATGTATGATCAACATATCAGCTTTGATCTAAATTGGCATAGTCATCTCTGAGAAACAATAATGATGGTGTAGATGTATCTTTTGGTATACTATCTTTGTACAAAATTTAAACAGAAACGTTCATTGCATTCAAGATGAAGTAGCATGGGTACCATAAAGAACAAGATGGCCGCCAGTCGGCCATATCTGTTTGAATCCCGAAAAAAAAATGACGTGCACCTACAACCCAATATGTAAAGTAACTTGACCTGCATATGTAAGACATTATGCATTGTTTTCATGTATAGTTTGAATGAAATCCATCAATGGGTGTCCGAGATATAGCTCCGGACGAACGTACGGATGAAACAAACCCAAATTAATAGTCCCCGTTTTCGGACTTTGTCCGAACAGGGACTAATGAGGTCTAACTCACCTGAGTGGACAGATTTTAAAATGAGGTTTAACTCACCTGACTACAGAGATTTCGAAATAAGGCAGCTGAGTGGACAGATTTTAAAATGAGGTTTAACTCTTCTTAGTGCACAGATTTGTTGATGATGTTTAACTCAGCTGTGCATGTGTGCAGATTTCAAAATAAGTCTTAATTCACCTGATTACACAAATTTTAAAATGAGGTTTAACTCACCTGAGTGCACATATTTTAAATTGAGGTTTTTAACTCGCATGAGAGCACAGATTTCAAAATTAGGTTTAACTTACCTGACTACACAAATTTTTAGATGAGGTATTCCTGGGTTCGTCTTTTTGTACCCAGAATCTGGTAAATAAACATCAAATGCAATCTGTATGGGTAAAGATTTATCCAATCTTGGTCTGAAAATTTAAAATAAACAACTCTATATTAGTGTTATCTTTCAAGCTTCATACAGTTTGATATAATGTGTTTTTTAAGATAAATCAATTTTGGCATGTTATTGCATAACATTGTCACTGTAAATTGTAGGAGATGAAGCCAAGTTTTCACTTAAGGATGCTGTACACGTTTTTTTGCTTTGAAACCCCAAATTCTACTTTTTTGTATTTTTCAATGCTGGACCACAGGGAGCAAACACTCAGTAGAAAAAAAAAAGGAATTGGATGTTTTTATAGGGTGTAAAAATCAATTTTTGTTAATTAAAAACAAAAGCACATGTCATTGTTTTGAAAGCTATGTTTTAATTAATCAGCTAAAGACATAATAGACAGATAATTTGCATAATAGTCACCACCCATAGCAAATATAAACAGTGATTGTGACTAATTAGTTTGTCATTCGCAAACTTTTAACACAAGCTTTGATCATGTGTTATTTAGTTGCAAGTTCAAGCTTTTACATGACCATGACAATTCTGGGATGATGATTTTGTCCATCTTAGTCAATTGGGCAATACCAAAGTTTTGCATGAATAAATTTGGTTTTCACAACACATTAACAGACAATCCCACAATGATCAGTTTGACCTCTGACACAATGGTACAATTTCACTGCTACATTGTACATGAAAATGAATTATGTTCCACTATTTAAACATTCTGTAACGTTGATTTTAATTGTAATATTCAAAACATAATCTGAAGCATCCTGAATAAATTAGATGGGATCTATGTTTCTCGTAAATTGGCCATTCAGAAGAAAGCTGCAAAAACATCTGGGATCTTCTCAAAAGCGTCTTCTGCTTTTATTTCCTTTCTAAAATTTGATATCATATCTATAATGAATACAGATATACTATCAACACAACAAACCCATTCCTTTCATTTAATAAATAAATATTAATAAATTCCACAATTCAAACTGAAGCAAGACGTTCCTAACACCTGATGGAATAACAGTACAAACATTTTCAAATGATGTCATTAAGGGAAGAGTAGGAAATCAAACGGGCGGTGCACCGCGGTCATTACCGCGGTGTACCGCAGAACGCCGGGGAGAGCTGCGGACTGCTTATAATTAGGGGTCTCTACCGCAGTCCTCGGTAATGTGTGAAATACGTACTTAACAGTTTCTTTGTGATTCCACGAGTCATTGTTTTAAAATCCGATGCTGTAAATGAATACGATATGTGCGCTTGTTTAGTATTTAGTACATGTATTTAGCATAAATTTCCAAAGTGATGCGATACAATTTTTCATGGTACATGTAGGTATACCTTTATTACACTGGAATAAAGTTTACAATTGAAAAGAGGACGATTTACAAAGTTTCAGCGTATCCAAGCCGTATCCTGGTTCTTGATTGATTTGGCAGTATCATGTTCACCATTTGTATCACACTCCAGAAAAAATGGCCAGCAAACGAGAAACGGGCGAACTAATCAAAACAGGTCAGGCTGTCTGCATTGCACTGACAATGACATGATTATTTTCTGTTTCGTTTCATAAATCTTGCATTGATTGTGCTTGTTGATTGGATTCAACTGCCATTGAAATTTATAAATTTTTGTAAAAGTGAAGGGAATGTGTTTTATTTGTGTTGATAGTATCCAAAACCAAGAGATAGGATAACCCCAAAACCACATTATATTATACCAATAACCTTTACCAATCATAGTGACCATATTGTTAGTAAGGCTTGTTTAGTTGAGCTTATTAATCATACTTTTCATCTAATCAGTAATATGCATGTTTATTCGTCTGTCCTATTGTAGCATCTATGTTCCTTTTAAAACGTACATGAAGTTTAAAGCAGGGGTGTACATGTCATGGTTTACAAACAAGCATCTACCCAGGAGCCTTTGCATTTTTAGCATTCATTGTTATCGCTTAGGATTCAATTCCCAAGCTTAATAACTAAAATAACTAACCTTTTTCTGTTACAATCAACATTCACATTCTTTATAATACCCAATTTGTCAAGGATATTTGCTACAAAGTTGAAACAAACAATAGTTAGTACTGTAAATGCATTAATTATTCACTGGGTTAAAATCTTAAATTTACATGAACATGTAAAATAACAATAAAACAGGTGACAGTCTTGAAATTTGATGTCATATCATTGTTATCTCACCCGAGGTTTTTTAGCCCCGCTGTCAACTTTGTCGAGCGGAGCTTATCATATGAGTGATTGTCCGTCGGCGTCCGGCGTCCTTGTCAATGTTTTACTTTTTCAACTTCTTCTCGAAAACTACAAGTCTGAATGATTTGATACTTGGTGTATATGTACCTTGGGTAGACCTCTCTCAGATTAGTTCATTTCGTGATGATATCTTCAATTCTCTAATTTTGGTGAATTTTTTTGTCATTTTTGGTAAAAAGTGATATTTTCGACTTCTTGTTGAAAACTGTAGGACCAATTGCTTTGATATTATATATATAGGTACTTCAAGTAGACCTCTCTCAGATTTGTTCATTTCGTGATGATATCTTCAATTACCTAATTTAAACGAATATTTTTGTCATTTTTGCTAAAAAGTGATATTTTCGATTTCTTGTTGAAAACAGCAAGTCCGACTGCTTTGATACTATACATATTGTTCATTTGCTAATGATATCTTCAGTTTTTTAATTGAAGTTTGCATTGTTAACAGCGGAGCTATCTCAGCCGATGCAAGTGTATAACCATACATACAGTGCATTTTTCAACAGAAATCATATTCTTGAATCCAGGCCTCAACCAGATCAAGTTGAACGCAATCTCAGCAAATCTTATCCAAGGTTCCCCCAAAATTGCATCTGTAGTGAATAAAACACGACCAGGGGCTTTGGCCTTCCTAATGACACTGTGGCACACTCGAGTATAGTGGTTGATCTTTTTTTTTTCATGTTCAACCTCCTAGCAATGAAGATACCATCAATCCAATATAAAGAATATAATTAAAAACTTATCCATGTTAGTTTGTCCAGTTATTTAATTGTTTTTGTTTTTTTCTGAGAGAGGAAATGTGTAAATAAAACATCACAAAGTTCACAAAATAACTCACATGTATTGACTGCATCTGAAGGCATGACCAGTGGCTGAATAGAATCATCAGGCCATAGGGATTTTCTTTTACTTTTATTAAGTTTCTTTTTCTGTTGATGTTCTAGCTCCTTAAATTCAGACCAGTTTGATGCTTTCCTGAGACAATCCCCAATCTCTTGTTGCAGGATGCTATTCAGGGTATCGCAGTGTTGATGCGATGTATTCATCATCGAATCAGTAATTCTTGATGCCTCAGCAGTCATCTGGATGAGGTGTTGTAGTTTGACAAATTGTGCGACATTTGGACGATGTTTCTCCTTACTAGCAGCTTCTATACTCTGTGGTAAAAGGCCAGGTTTCACAATCAGGAACTCATTCATTGGACAGTTATCCGCAATATTCGGGAATTGGATATTACTACAAACGGCCGTATTTCCCATATATTCCGCCGCCTGGTTGCTAATCAAACGCTTACCACCGTGTGTCACTTGTTCATTAGCTAAATCACAAAATACTTCCAGTACATTATCAATATTTATCTCATCCATGACATTATCAAAAGAATTATCAGTGGATTCGGTCGATTCAGACTCTTTAACCATGGAACTATGTGAAGGCATATTTAACTTAGCAGAGTGACGAGCTTCAACTCGATAACTTGAATTATGTTCGCTACTGTGCTGCTTCGGTTTGCGATGTTTTTTATTACCAAATTTAGCCTTCATGGCCGCCATTCGTTCCTGGTTTTGTTTATAAGACAACAAGTTGATTTCAGAATGGCGGATCTCTTCATGTTTTTTTTGCACAATATCATGTGATCCATCGGAACATTCAGAAACTGATGAAAGGATCTCTTCACGGACTACAGGAGACGCGAAACTTGGGAAGCTAACTGGTGAGTAGGAACTCGTTTTGTGACCGAGAGATGACTTTGATTTTCTACATTCTGAGGCAACAGGTTTATTATATTCAGAAGCTTGCTGCCAGAATTCTATCTTCTTCTGTATCTGCTTATTTCGCACCTGGTATTGATCTAATCTGATTTGAATTTCATAACTGGTGAACTGGGTCCTAGTAAAGTAAATTGAAAAAATTATGAATTTTATATTTATTACCAACACAGAAAAACAACTGGAACTCCAACAATTTAAAAATATTTCAACACCAACAATAAACTCTTATTTAAAGAACTGATTGAATACAGATTATCAATAGTTTATGGTTAATTTATAAACTTTTAAACAATGTTCAGAAACTCAAAATTCATAATCAACTATGATTTTAACATCACTGGTGCAGGTAAATATAATTTTGAAAAAACATAAGCGTTGTCAGTTATTAGCCTTGCTCACAGAGGGCAGTACAAAAGAGTGACCCAATCATAACAATATGTTTGAATTTGGATCTATATTTATAAATATTGTCAAAATGAACAGCTACATTCATGGGTAATCCCAAATGAGTATATATCATGTATATATGTGTATATATATATCAGTACTTCATCTTTCATCTACTATATTCTTTTATCTATTTTTTTTAGAAAAAAGAAAAGTTGAACCTTGAACCTCTGGTTGTCTTAATTAGTCTATCAACACCTCATGTGGTATTACATGTATAGTGATAATGATACGCATTGGAGAAACCCTATACACACATTTACACATGATGAATACCATAATACATGTATAGTGGTCAATATAGCTAATAGTTTTGATATTCATTTTGACAACGTGGTTAAAATCCATAAGATAAAACACAGTGTCAATCATAAAATAACAGATTTTATTTTAAAATTAATAATTTGGGCTCATGATCAGTGAGATATCCATGAAAAATGTCTTAGAAGATGGTGATAAATCTTACCCTTGATGTCGTATTACTATGTATCCAAGTCGCTGTAAATGACTGTAAACCTACAAAAAGTAAATACAACAAATAATGGCATTATATACAGCCACATAAAGTTTAAATCACTACATAATACATTTCACAAACAAAAACTTTCACTGATGTAATCCTAAAAGGAAGACCTTAATTCAAAGCATGCATGCATGCATGTAGTTCAGTTAATGTGAATTTTATGGTAAAAAGTATCTGGGTATTGTACAATGAACAACGAAACAATAAAAATTTAGTGGTCATATTTTTGCTAAAATCATTTCAGACCACAATATTCCTGAAGAATGTAAACATATATTCGTGCTCCTGTGCATTCGAATTCAAAGCATTACCAGACTAAACTGAATTACCCATTCATGTTTCCTCCATGGGTTTCACTGCACTTTCATCAGCATGTGAAATCCCTCATTGACTTCCTCAGCAGTGAAAAGTGTTAAGTCAAAAATATTTACAGGATATACTAAATAAGAAAGTTGAGAATTTAATCTACCTGGTAATATTCTATTGGTACGTACTCAGGAATCAATATGGAGTAAGCTTCTTGTATGGATAGAGGAACCCCATTGCAGTACAACTCTAAGGAACCCTGCATAACAAATAGAAATATCCAATATACAGTAAGTACAAAGTTTGTGTGTTATATGTACAATGAAGAATATTTATGCTACACAATCTGATGGTGTCTGTTAATGATTTCATAATATAATATTGTGGAATTATATACTGTAGAATACTTTATTTTCACTTGAAATTTATTTTCACTATTTTCGCTGAAGGGATGTTTCCGTGAAAATAAAATCCAGCGAATATATTTTTTTTTCTCTATTTCACATTAAACTCATCAAAAATCTGTGAAAATAAATTCCAAGCAAAACGCCCAAAAAGCCCTTTCAGCGAAAATTAATTCCAGCGAAAATAAAGTATTCCACAGTATGCGTATTTTCACAGTCCAATAAAGTTAGATGGTAGATTGCTGAACAAGTGCTGATAGCATAGAATATGGAAGTAGACTAATGGTTAACACAATCCCTGCACATAAGACATGTTCACCATATTCTGTCATTGTTGAACCACATATAATCCCAGAAGCTTTGGACAACATGCTGGTAGCATACAATAAAAATATTTTTGTAGTTCATAGATATGATATGCATTTTCAATCTGTCCTTTTATGCATTGGGATAAGAAGACATCGACAAGATGCAATGAAGGACTTACCCCGTTCATAAGAAACAATGCTTCCTCAGGAAGCAGCCACTTCTTGTCATTGATGTGATGTCCCATAGTATTCCAAAATTTACCCTACAAACGAAACAATCAAAGTAAGTAAACTACTCAAGTGAAGATAATATATTATTATTTACAGAGAATGGGAGAGTACAATTAATGCAAACAGATGGAGTTTTTAATTCTAGAAATTGAAAATTTATTTAATTCATTGCTGTATGTACCCAGTATGTATGTTCATAATAGAACTCAACAGGAACTCAAGGGCTAGTGTGCTAGTGGCACACATGTTCCTCATGTGATCTGCACGACTTGCATGGTTACATATTTAGGGACAAAAATGCCAAAGGTCAACTTCACAGTATTTATGTATTTGTGTAATAGAACTACAATGCAAAAATATTTAGTGCCTTCAAACTTTACACACACTTACAGTACAATACTCAGTTTGATCATCAGGACAAAAGATCAAGGTCACATCTTGCGTACAATAATAAAAATAATAACTTTATTGCATGCTTAGAAATACAATGTTTCTATCAGTTAATAGCAATAAAGATTAGTTGTGATAACTACTACTACAAAAAGAAAGTTAGTTGTTAATGGGATAAAGCAAGTGTTACATATAAAATTTTCATTTCTTGATTGATATGCATTATGAATATTGTTGCCAATCTTTTTTGTGTGTATGCATTTTTGCAATAGAAGTCCAAAGGAGAAAATAGGAACCACCTTAAAACCTTTGTGCCCACTATCTCTGTCCATTGACTGTCTGTAAATCATTGCCATATTAGTATTCATAGCCTCTAGGTCAATTATTCCTTACCTTCTCCAGGGTAAGCTCAGCTAGTCCTAGACCACCATTCCATGTGGCTTGAGCAAGACTTCCACTATAAAGATTTAAAAAAAAATAATGATGTGTGGATAATGGATGTATTAATTATTATCCAATCTATTTTAATTGTTGTTTTTCATACAATAAATCATACAATATCCTACAAAGAATACTACAATGACAACAAGTCAATGTCATGACAAAACAAACTGAAATCATGTCAATGCCTTTTTTAATCAGACATGATGTATATCATATATATGTAAAATTTGATTTTAACAAGCTCCAGGATAGTGGAATTACTTGGGAAAAGGCAGTCCAAATGCAATGTGGAAAGGGTAGCCCTCACACAATGTGTAAAGGGTAGCCCTGTCACAATCAGGAAAGTGTCGGCCTGACACAATCAGGAAAGGGTAGACCTGACACAATCAGGTAAGGGTAGCCCTGACACAATCAGGAAAGGGTAGACCTGACACAATCAGGTAAGGGTAGCCCTGACACAATCAGGAAAGGGTAGACCTGACACAATCAGGAAAGTGTCGGCCTGACACAATCAGGTAAGGGTAGCCCTGACACAATCAGGTAAGGGTAGCCCTGACACAATCAGGAAAGGGTAGACCTGACACAATCAGGAAAGTGTCGGCCTGACACAATCAGGAAAGGGTAGCCCTGACACAATCAGGAAAGGGTAGACCTGACACAATCAGGAAAGGGTAGACCTGACACAATCAGGAAAGGGTAGACCTGACACAATCTGGAAAGGGTAACGCTTTATAAACAATAAAAGACAAGCCATGCATGGCACAGTCCCAGTTAGTTATTGAATTTAAGATATATTGTTTTGTTTATAGTAATATAGCTGGAATATAACTGTCAGGAGTATGATTATGATTATGATTGACATTTGTATGTGATCGTTAAACGAGTATTGAGAGATATTGCTCTGGAACAGCATTAATTAAAACAAAATCAGCCATTTTGAATACATGGATAATGAATATATAAAATTTGAACAAAATCAGTCAAAGCATGTCAGAGTTATGGCTCTAGAAGACCATTCATTAAAACAAAATGGCCACTAGTCAGCCATTCTGAATCTGATTTGAAAAATAAAATCAGGAACCCATAATGTCTTATGTATGTACCAAGTTTGAACAAAATCCATCCACAAATGCTTGATGATTTTTTAGGAAGTCAGAGATATGGTCCTAGAACCACATTCATTAAAACAAATTGGCTACCAGTTGGCCATTTTGAATCTTATCTGAAAAACAAAATGATGTGCATCAAGGTCTTATAATGTCCAACGTATATACCAATTTCGAACAAAATCCATCTATAAACAGCAGAGAAATGCTGGATTTTGATGATTTTTTAGCACAAAAATGGCCGCCATTTTGCCATCTTGAATCAGATCATGAAACAATTTTATGTGCATATGTATAATATCATTTATGATGTAAGTGTGAAGTTTGATTGTGATTGGTCCATGCATTTCTAAGATACAGGTCCGCACGCATGCACACACACAGGTTAAAACATAACACCGTTCGAAAACCAAGACTAAAAATGATTAATCATTTCTTACTGCCTTGTAACTCGTTCTTCAGACAGTAGATTTTTCTGTTCAGCATATGCCGAATCTAAACGTTGTTGTTGCCATGGTGAGTTGTCAGGCGCAAAATCTTTTACTCCTCGTGTTGGTAAACGTGAATCCATCTTCTTCATGTTCAAAAGTTCGCGACCACTGTAAGACAAATATATAGTAGTATAAAACGTCAATATGTGAATGTGTGGATATTTTAAAATGATTTACTTTGTGCAAATAAAAAATGAAGTTTTTTTTCTAGCCACTTTGTTTTGATTTTTGTCAGGTGATTTTGTGCTTTCCATCCAGACATCCATCCATTCAGCATTGTCAGTATGGTCAATTGAGCTAAAAACTAAATTTCAATTCAATTTTGCAGAAAACACAATTAACTGACTTTATGAGTTAGTAAAAATAGCGAAAATTTCAATGAGGTCTTAAAGTCACAGTGACTCACAAGATTTTGTCCTGATGACCATTAGTAAATCATCAAATCTTTAAAATTCCTACAGTTTACAGTAAATTTCAACATATGATTTTTGTGAAATACAACATTTATAGGTGCTTTAGCTAGCTTTGTATATAACATTCTCTAAATTGGGACTGTATGTGTCACCCATTTGCCAACAGTGAATACCGATAAGGGATTAACCATTTTGAATCATGGGGGGGTGGGGTGACTGGAGCATTTTTCTTGCAGTATCTTATATACAAATGTTTCTTTTTCTTGGAAGTGCCAACTTTTTTTCCTACTGTACATTGCATGTAATTTTTGTTTCTCTCAAATCTTCCAGCCACCTTCCCTGCAATTTCAAATGGTTGAATTAATAAAAAAAAAATATGACTCAAATTCTTGTTTCTTCCATCCCTTCCCCCTCTCTCTCTTCCCCTCTCTCTCTTCCAAAATTTCTTTTTCGAATAAAATTACATTTGTATATCATATTTAGAGAAACTAAAGGCAAGGGTTACATGTAAGCCATATTATTATAATGCGGTTTGGTTCTCACCTCAATCGCTGAACATTTGGTTTTATTCGTCGTTCTGGTTCGCCCATCTTCTTGTTCTCATCACCTGAGTTCTGATTATGGTCTCGTTTACATTCTCTGTTGTCGCTCATTTTCATTCACTTCGATTGACGACGTACTATTGGTGCCGTTCAAAAAGTTTACATGATTTCAGACAGTCTTCGAAGTGGAAAACTCTTGTCACGTGTGTAACAGACAATGTCATCTCAGTCATACCTGCTGTCATAGGTACGAAAACGTGAGTCGCCCGTTCTCATCAAAACAGCTGATCATATTTAAGGATACAATGGGTTAAAACAATTTAATTACTTGTAAATGTTTTAATCATAATAGAATGTTTCATACCATTTTAATTCTTCTTTATATCATAAAATATAATTAAATCGACCTTGATAACTTAATTAATAATAGTAATCTTACAAATGCGCCCAACTAATTATTATTAACCTTTGACTACCTTTGTATTTAGAAACGTAGAGGGCGTCATGCGCCACTGGAGGAAAGTAACACGAACGTACAACTTGTATGTACACATAGTTATATGACCAAATTTCGCTAAGACGTTACTAAGATAATGACTGAAATTTACAAGACTTTTACATGAATGTTTTGATTTAAGAAGAATGGTTATATTCGCACGTGCTGACTGATAGGTTTGGACTTTAAAATGGACAGTAAGTATTAGATAATTAGGTTGGTTGAACCTCAGACAGCAGACCGATTCGATGGCACTGCGATCGGTGTTATTACCGTTAGGTTGTTCACGCGTCAACGCCAAGGTTGTATATAACACTCACTAACTGTAGTTGTTTAGCTATAGTTTCAACATTTAAAAAAAAAATGATATAACACTGATTGCCTGAATGAATAAAAAATGTACTAGTTATTGCGATATTAATTCATTATCACGTTAAACCTGGGGTTGTACTTGCTTCAAAAGGTGTATGTATTTGTGAATTCAGGAAGAAGGAACTACGACTCTCTTAATCTATTTTTTTGCAATCGCTATAAACCATACCACCGTCTGCTTCAGTTATCGTTACTCACTTGGATAATTAGTTTGATAAAATATAATAACCATTATAAGGCTGTAAGTGAATGCAAATATTTTACTATAAATAATTAAGTAAGTAATATTTTATTCCACCAAAGACACTAGTGTTTTTGATTACACTTATATATTATCACCTTGAGTTTTAATGCGTTTAGGTTTATGATATAAATAGGGTACAAGTGATAATAATAATATTTATTAACTCATAACCTCACCCGGAGACGATAAAAATGTATAAAAAACAAATAAAGAATTAAAGCTGCAAGCAGCATCACAGGGGCCCAAGTATATGCCATAAATAATGTCAAATGATACACAATTAGTTTGAATGATTAGTACCATGAGGTCGAAATGCAGTTGGTTCCATATATTTATTTGAGATATAAAGGTTATTAATATATGGTCATCTGTTATTTTAATCAAATCTCTTGTTCAACATAGTCATGATTCATCTTCCTAACTGCAACAGTGTTTGAGATACAACGATTATGCATATTAATGAGCTCACATGACCATATATGGTCATCTGTTATTTTATTCAAATCTCTTGTTTAACATCATCATAATAACACAGGTTTCATCTTCCTACCTGCAACAGTGCTTGAGATATAACAGTTATGCATATTAATGAGTTCACATGACCATATATGGTCATATGTTATTTTAATCAAATCTAAGGTTCACTGTTGTCATGATAACACAGGAATCATCTTCCTACCTGCAACAGTGCTTGAGATATAACAGTTATGCATATTAATGAGTTCACATGACCATATATGGTAATCTGTTATTTTAATGAAATTGCTTG